CTGTTGGGAGATTGTATCAAAACTAACAGAGTAGACCTTATTATCAATAAGTCCGGTTCTTACATCTTTTGAGAAACGCAAAAATGCTATTGAAAGTAAAATTATTACTTGTTAATGTTTTCATAAACTTATCTACAGAATTAATTGGCCATAAATATATGATCTTGTGACAACTCGACGTTAACACTTTGTCCTATATGAACATGCCATCTCTATTTAGATGTGCTAATTAAATATTGTAAAATATAGTCTTTGGTCTATTCACTATCCCGATGTTCAGTATGACCTCTTCTTTTATATTTAGATCCAATGACCTCTAGGCTCATAAGATACTATTTTCTTATTTTTCATAGATTTAAGATGTTCGTAAATGAGTATATAATAGTTAGCAAATAATTTGCTTGGGTGTGATTAATAACAAAACGAGTCCTAGCTCAGATAGGAGAGAATTGTTTATTTGACACAACATTTCAATAAATTATTTTGCAGTTAATTGTACCAGAAATATTCCGTATGCTCCGTTTTGGAATGGCAGGTTTTGTTTCTGGTTAAGAATTATTATTATTATTATTTTTGCATATGTTTAAATTTGAGTAATTTAAAATCAATTTTAAAAATGTTCACTTGTCTTGAATTTCTAATTTAATTTGTTGTAATTTACTTAACTTAAGATTTGTTAACTTGTGGTTTTGAATAGTGCTATTTTGGGATGGGATGTATGTGTATATTATGTAAGTTTGTTTTGCTCTGTTTACTTATTATATTACTATCTATGCAGTGTAAGTTCCAAAACCCTCCACGTGGCTTATTGCCCTTTTCCCCAATATCAACAAATTATGAGTGGTATAAAAGAGAAATTTCTAAAGATTCGAAAATTGTTTTCTCTCCCTCTACTGTTCAGTCGGACGTGTTCTAGTGGCTAAGGTGCCAGGATGTAAATCAGAAGGTCCAAGGTTCGTGCCGTGATGCCATTGAACTTTCTCCATACTTTCAGCTGTGAGTGCATTTTAGAGAGGCAATGAATTCCATTATTTGGTTCAGAGTCAGTGGGGAGTTTGCTGACTAGCCGCCTTACTTTTAGTCAGTAGCTGCTTAACCCATTCGTATTAAAAATGACATTCAGTTTGGAAAAACCAATACCTTCTATTTTAAATGTCAGATATGGTTGTGTAAGCTACTTATCTTTAAGCAAGACAGAGTTGTATATATTAGAACAAGACCCAATTAGATCTTAATTGATGATACCATGATAAAATAATGTTGTCAGTATTCAAGAAATTTATTGAAGTTGATTGTGATCAAACATGGTGAAATGAATATACGGCGTGAAACAGTATACGGCGTGAAACATCTAAGTATAATAGACATTTTAATACGTTGTTTACAAAACACAGACGGTTCGAATAAATCTGTAGCGGATTTTGATCAGTGTCTTTCCTCAAGTAAAGTACCTATCAGCGTTACTAAATCCATACAAGTATTTCTAAAGTATACATTCGGTAATCCCCTTTTAGTTACCTTTACAAATCGCTATTTCATCAGTAACTTATTTTTCAAAATACCTGAAGGCAAAACTTACTTCTACAATGTAAAAAGTTTTGATTTTTCACGTAATTTGAAAGTTAGTTGTGATTGTTGTGTTGTACGATGGTGCAGAAATATTCATCTGTTGATTTGTTTGATGTTAAACATAAGGTTCTACAGTGGGATATCTGTGCTGTAGCCACCGCTGAGATCGAATCCCGAATGTTAGCGTTATAAACCCTCAAGCTTATCGCTGAGCCACCAGGAATTCTGATTGTTTCAATAATTTTTTCTATAATTTCGTAATTAAATTGCGAGAGTCATTCAATTTGTTCTAAATAAAAACAATTTTCTTGTTACGGTAAGGATATGTATTCATTGGTAGTTATGATAAAATTTGAGCCCCCAGTGGCACAGCGGTATGTCTGCAGACTTATACTGCTAGAAATCGGGTTTCAATACATGTGATTGGCAGAGCACAAATAGCCCTTTGTGCTTAATAACAAACAACAAAAAAGTGCATCAAATGGATGAAACATCTGTTGTATATTGTTCAAAGGTAGGGAGTTTGGTTGTTTACATGCATATATAATATATATATATATATATATAATAGTTGACTAAACATTAAGAATATTGCTTAATTAAACTAGTTTCTAAGTTTTAAAGACATTACCAATGCTTCAATTATCGTTATATGATGTTTTCAGCTTTTCCAATGCGTGTAATTAGGATGGAAAAGAGAGAGTTTTATCTCGAACAAAAAGTATTCAGTAAGAAGAAGTTTACCACCACCTTCAACAGCAGCAGCTGTTGTATTGTTACGGACGTTTCTAAACGTCGAAATTTTTTGTTGATAGAGGAATTATTGCAGCTGTTTATCTTCTAAATATTTAGACTCCTGCTGTGTAGAAACTAACGTAGGACAAGATCGTGCTGTGAAGACCCTGCCGTAATAGATAAATAAATTCTCCAAGTTTTTGGAGCTGTCACAAGTGCAAGAATAGATCTTACAACCGTAATGACATATACAAAGTAAACCACGTGTGTGAAGTAGATGACCAACCTAAAGTATTATTACCTTGGCAGTTCACTAAAACAAGCTGAGATTTTTTATTTCAGTGACTAATTAATTCTCCTACTTATTAATTTGTAAAAATGTTATCATGAATAAATATGTACTCAGCCCATCCCCGCCAAATTTCCTTGTCTATTACAACAAAACTTCTTTTCATCACATTAATTGTTTCTTCGTTAAAAACTGAACTAGTTAAGGCATTGTTTGATCCAGAATATCACAGTGTAATAACGTTCAAGCTTTCAGTACAGCAGTAGTCAGAATTAGTCAAGTTTTCTGTATACAGACAAATTCTACGACTGAATTACTTCGTTTTGATTATTTTAGTTAAATAAAATATATATTTCTTGTATTTGAAAAACATCACATCAAGTTTCCTGTATACAGACAAACTCTACGCCTGAATACTTCGTTTCAATTATTTTAGTTTAATAAAATATATATATATGTTTGACATGCGAGAAAACTAACAAAAATCTTCGTCACATAGCAAAAAAGAGTTCTTGTTTATATTTTCTAGGTTTTCATAAACAGTATAAGAAAACAGTGGAAATTAATCATAAGAAAGTCTCTGAAAAGGATATCAAAATTGAATCGAATTCTTCTTATTTCAAACAACCCTTTTCAATCTTATGATTCAGGGAGTATTAATATACATTTTTGCAATACCTTGTTTTCAAATGTTTTATTTCATATTTTGTGATTGTTAACTATCATCATCAGACAGAATAGTTCAAAATTTGATGTAAATGTATTTTTGAAACAAAACTTATCGCTTTTAGTTCTAAACACGAAGACTAAACAGGTGACAATAATTTTTACTTTGAAGAATGTGCAAAACATTTGAGCGTAATGTAAAAAGAAACAAAGGACTCTTAATGATAAATTTTGTTCTAACATGTTTTATCGTTGGGTGGGATCTTCAGTGATATTTGGTAAAAATAATGAAAAGTTCAGTCCATGTAACAATATTTAAATAATTTAATTATTCAATAACTTTCTACTAAATCTACGTTAATTCGGAAGCCTAACAACACAAATAATGTTTTAACAAAACTCCTAATCTAATATATGCCTAACTACACAAATAACGTTTTAACAAAACTCATAATCTAATATAAGCCTAACAACACAATAACGTTTTAACAAAACTCATAATCTAATATAAGCCTAACAACACAAATAACGTTTTAAGAAAACTTCTAAACTAATATAAGCCTAACTCATTTATAAAGATACGTACAGAATATCCTCGCAAATTGATTGCTAACAAACTCGCTAATTGATTCACTGATTAGCTCAATCACAAAAGCACCAACTCTCAGACTTACTTTCTAACTCAGTAGCTGATATTTAAATGATTAAATAATTAAGTGAATAATTCACTCAGTCTGGTATTTATAATGTTCTCTTATTTCTACGTAGAACAAGAAGCTTATATGTTCTGTAAAGGCTTAACTTTTATGAAATTTCTAAATGTTGCATCATCAGACATAACGACATGCCCCTTTAGTAAACAAACATCTAAATAAATATATTAAAAATAACAGAAAACATCTGAGGGTCTTTTCGATAATATCAATTCAGATAAATGAATGATAAAATATTTCACTTAAATATTATTCCAATCCGATTGTCTCGGTACATGTCGCCCCCGGTACCTCAATAGTAAGTCTGAGGGCTTATAACGCTACAAATCAGGTTTCGATACACGCGATGAACAAAGTACATATAACATTATTGTTATATAAAGAACGAATAATAAAATGAAAGCCTATAGAGGAAAGTTAAATAAAATTCAACAAACTACTTAAGTAATATTAAGCAATCATCTATAAAAGATTTAGTAAAATTAAAAGGATGGACCATTCATTATTTTTTTACAATTCGTCAAACTTTGGTAAGAAAAAAATGAAACCAAACCGTATGAAAATTAAAAAGGCAAACTATCATAAAAATGAAAAAATAGAAGCTATTTAAAAAATGTATAATCAAAAAATTATTATAGTGGACTGCTTCCATAACACCCAAAGATATGTTGTGGATATCCCGTCTATCATTCCACAATTACAAGTGCTTGTAATAAAACAAGTTTTTTACTGGTGTGAGATGATGATTGTTCAGCATATTTATGTTTACTGAGTTTGTTAGCTTAAAATGTTATATATATACTATAGAGGTTACATATAAACTTTAAACAACATTATCGACACGTATGATGGCTTATAGGATATGTCTAATAAGATTATATTAACATTTATGGACTGTAAAGTAATATGTTTGTATCTTACTGCATGTATATTAGATAATTTCAACTAAATTCTGTCCACTGTCAATGATAAGATAAAACTCATATCTCATATATTACTCTTTCCTTCTTTCACTTTCTGTTTCTCAGATTTGTGTTAGCAGACAACAACGCTGATGATACGCAGAAGTGTTTAGGCGCAGCAAAACTGGCCTCTACCAATAGAAACCATCTTGACCAGAGTGGCAAACCTCCCTTACCAGAAAATGGTTAGTCAATTTTTTTGTAATGGACACGTTTAATGATAATGGAAATTACGTGTAATAGAATTTACTATATCTGTAGTATTCTTCACGTTTAGGTTTTTAAACAGTGTTCACATGGTCTTTCATGGATATTCTTTAGTTTATATCGACATTTGAAGGTTAATTTTGGTTTTCATCCAGTGGAATATATATCTTATTATTTTTAAAAACAAATGAAAATGTAGCTTTGGAGCTAAAAGTTAGTAGACCATTTCTTGCCTTTCAAAAATCTTACAATTTTTTTGTAATGGACACGTTTAATGATAATGGAAATTACGTGTAATAGAATTTACTATATCTGTAGTATTCTTCACGTTTAGGTTTTTAAACAGTGTTCACATGGTCTTTCATGGATATTCTTTAGTTTATATCGACATTTGAAGGTTAATTTTGGTTTTCATCCAGTGGAATATATATCTTATTATTTTTAAAAACAAATGAAAATGTAGCTTTGGAGCTAAAAGTTAGTAGACCATTTCTTGCCTTTCAAAAATCTTACTTACTTTAATAGCTTTAGATTAAAAACATACAAATAGTTTAAAAATCTAGGGACGATTGTTTTATACATTGTTTCTTGAGTTTGTATTACTGACTATAATTAAGGACTTTGCATATTTGTATGGAAATAAAAGCAACATTTTGTTATGCAAATAAATAATTTATACTCATAAAATATTTTCGTCTAAACAAAAACTAATAGAATTCACGTCCCGAAAAGCAGGTTGATCTTTGTTTGCTTAACTGATCGAATTAACTTTGTATAATAGAACGAGAGATGTAAAGAAAAATTCTTCCTGAATATATATAAAAATAACTTACACTGCATCAATACAAAAATAAACCGATCTGGAATCTAATAAATTTTACACCACTTTCTCACATGCCCCTTCCCTTAAAGAAGTGAGTCAGAAAACTTCTAGTTATAATGTGTGACTAAGCTGTTAATTTAACTATGTGTTCTCCTGATTCGTTATTTATTGCACTGTTTTTAAAGGTTGTTTTTATCAAGAACTATTTAAAGACAAAATTACTTCAATAAAAACAAACACATGTTATTAACAATAAAAACCTTTTTAAGCTACCTATTGCAGTATAAAACACAAAAAAGCAAAAAGGAAACAGGCTAGATAGAATTTAATATTGAATTACATGTGGTTATGTTAAATATACCGCGAGAGATAATACAATGAAGGTGGAGTCTTAAATTTAGAAATATTTCACTGTAAGTTTATGGTAGACAATAAGATGAAACTATTGTTTGTTATGTACAGTATAGTAAAGAATAGTGGAAACGGTGAATAGAATTTGTATAAAATGCAAATATTATTATTACATAAAATGCAAATGTATTTTCTTTCATGTGAAAAAATGAGCTGCTTTAAAGCATAGTCAGGTATTGGTAGCTTACACCGTAACTGGCTGCTATTCAAACCAGCATAATGCCCATAAAAGTACAGAAAGTATACTTATCTCCACAGTAGGATGGTGAAAGCGCTAATAGTTGTCCAGACAGAAATGCCACGTGACAAATGTAGAAATAAAATATGTGGTTCATGATGCAGATTGAAGTGAGATTGTATGTTTGAACAGGAGATGTGTGGACACTCTGAAGAGGGTACCTGAAATTAATTATGTTGATGATATAACTTTCGAGGTAGAAAGGTGATGTCAAGTAACTTAGAGAATGTTCTACGTGATACACGACAATCCACTAGAGGTTTCGCTAATAACATAGCTGTAATATAGGTACGAATGCCACTTCTAGAGCAGTAAGATAAATCTGCTAAGAGTGATAAAAAAAAACAAAAGACTGAATTGGGCATCAGACTTCAAACACTGGGATTAGCAGCAATTAATGATAATTTGTGCTATGTTAGAGAAGAGAATGGACTCACTTTTAATGTACATAATCTATAACGAAACAAGCTGGGGTGGGGGAGGAGGGATAGTACATCTCAGTCAATGGTATCGAAGATCTAGACAAAATTTATGGCACCCTGATCGAAAATATGTACAAGTTCACAGTATTTATCATATCAAGCCCTCAAGAACGAGACACGTTGACATGGATTCATCTTACAGTAAAACAAAGCATTCATTAAATGTGTTTAAATGAAGCTTCTAACGAAAAAAAAAGCCGATGGAGCAGTCGAAACCATGGCTTGATCTGCACAAAGTCCTATTATTAAGGCTGTAGGAGCTTACGTGGAAAATGAGAATGTCAAACGATATCCAAACAACTTGGTTGAATTGTGAGGAATAATACCGGACATTTGGAGCAATATTTCATAATCATACCACAATAAAATAACAGTAGCATAAACTACTCTTATTAATGCAAATACAAAACACTGTTGCATTGTTCAAATTATATCATTTTTTGGGCAACTGATTTGGTTTTATTTTGTATTTTCTATAATCATGTATTGTGCTAATGATAAACTGACGTTTTAGTTATAATTAATCATTGTTTGTGACTCCAATTAGTCTGAATTATTAAAGATGAAAAAGAAACATTCGCATGCCTCCGATAACATATAGGACTGCTCATAATTAGGGGTGAAAGAAATTAATCTTGATCACATTGCTACTTCGTGAATTTAATGATACTTAATGTTGTCGAAG